ATTCTGCAGACCGTACAATGCCACAGCAAGGGGTTTTTTCGGCTGTGTGCTCAAAACAAATTATGTAATGCAAGGTCAAACTCTATGACAAGACACCTTTAAAAAATGTTTTTTATTTTTCCAGGCAAGGGTAGAATGTGCAGGTGCAACTTTGTCATGTATTTTCTATCTGTGACAGCAAAGCCTATATAGAATTCAGAAGTTTTTTTTTGTAAGTGGTCACATGAGTATTTATTTATTTACTGGGCAGCACACAAGCACTGGTATATTGTATAAGCTACGTCATGTAATGTGCTACTCACTAGTTTATAGTAGGCTAGTATACATGTGCCAGAATTTAACTATAAAATGGCACTGATGTCACTTTTTTTTAGTCTGATATAATTTTATACAAATACAAATACGAGACCCATTAATGCCCCGCCCCTTATTATTTAAAATTTTTACTGAAAAAAAATGTGTACAAGCACCTTGGTATAAACTGCAGCATGTAAAAGGTTTTGTTTCATGCATCATAATGTATTTATTTCTTTTAAATTAATAATCTAAAATAGCATTGCTAATGTGATGTTACTGATAAAATAAATAAATAAATAAAAAATAAATAGACTAAATATATATAAATCCTTTTTCCACATTTAAAAAAATACTTATTTACATTAAAATAATTCATATTATTTCTGGATTGTCTCATTTACTTTAAAATCAGCTGTATGTATCTGTGTTTGTTTACGATTGCAGTAAATACGGTTAAATAAATGTTTGATATTAAAAAGAAAGTTATGGTGCAAAATGCCACATTAAATTCACTCGTAGTTTTTTTTTTGCTAATTATCCTTGGAAAACTTTCTGAGAGTCAGAGTATAAGATGGCCGCAAGGACCTGACGGTGTTGAGTGAAGAGCGTCAGCTGTGTTTAGAATGGGATAAAAGGTTTAAAAGCCAATCAAACATTTCAGAGTTACTGTCACATGAAAGAAAACAACCAGAGCAAGAGGCGGACAAGCTGCTTAACAAGCATGTCTGACGGACACTCTGGTGTGTTTACTGAAAATTGTGAATTTGTTTATTTATTTATTTCAAATCATAATAAATAGTTTACAGAAAATTTAAACTGTATCGCTTTTACTTTCACATTTTTGACTGCTGATTTTGCAGCTAATCACAAGCAAGCTCTGGAAAATTAAAGCCCTCATGCCCTTGTCATATTTCTTGGTACTTTTATGGAGAGTAAGATGTCAGGAACAGTAAAAAAGCCAGTTGTAATAATTTTATTGTTTCTGTATGATTTTCTTGAAAGTTCCTAGCCTTTAATCAGGCCATAAAAACTTCAATGCTGAATATTTTTATTGGGTATTAAATCCACATGCTGACATTTTTTTCAGAAAGAGAGGAAGGTAGTGATTTCACAGCAGAAGTCCCCGCTTCTCATTAACTAACCGTTAAAATTCTTGATTTTTTTTTTTTTACGGTACAACGTGGATCAATAAATTCATATCAGATGAAAACTGTAAATGTTAACACTAAAATCTGAAACGCGAGCGCAAATACATAAATTAATATATTAGAAGCGCATTAATGACTAAGATGAGGCAGGAACAGCCGGGTGGACATGACAACAGACGATAAGTTATGTGGCGCAGTGTCAAAATAACGCGATCACATTTCAGAGCCATAGGAGGACATGTTGAAAATGTTATGCGCTACAATATTTGAGTGTCCGTAATCGGAAAATCACTAACCTGCGCGGTGGGATGTGTTGTTATTATGTACTGCTTAAATCATTTTTGATAACCTATAAAGCCTTTTTAAAGCACTGTGAGTACGATACATTTGCATTATAGGGAAAATTACAATGACCATATTCAATAATCTGCTGTAACTATTATTACATTATTATTATTACTATACAGGATTTATATAGCGCCAACAGTTTGCGCAGCGCTTTACAATATAAGGAAGACATTACAATCACAATACAATTCAAGACAAGATGGTAAGGAGGGCCCTGCCCCTGAGAGCTTACAATCTAAGAGGGAGGGGGAAATGATACATGAGGAGGGAGCTGTGTGGGCATGATTGTTTGAGAAACTGCTTACGTATATTATTTCACTATAGAATATTACTTATTACTTGAAAGCATAAATGTTTGTTTGGCACGAAAAGTACAAACTTAATGGCACCAGACTTAGGAAAACACAAACACATAGTGGATAAATAGCAGCAGTAAGTGTCCATAATCTAACAATACCAAAGAACTCTTATAATCTGTGGTATATTATTTAATGAGAGCTATTGGGATGGATGATGGATCAAAAGGTGGATGGATGAATAGATAGATGGAATGATAGATATATACACGCATACATACATACATACATACATACATACATAGATAATAGCTAGATACATACATAATAGAAAGATAGATAGATAGAAGAGAGAGAGAGAGAGATAGGAGAGAGAGAGAGAGATAGGAGAGAGATAGGAGAGAGAGAGAGAGATAGGAGAGAGAGAGAGATAGGAGAGAGAGAGAGAGAGAGAGAGAGAGAGAGAGATTTATCAATATCTAAATTAATACATTAGATACAACATAGATTGAAATATGTGGTCAATCTTCATATAAAACAAGAAAATTGACAGGAAGTAGGAGGGAAGATGGGAGAAATGGAAAGACTGATACATAAAATTTCTTATGTATTATTTTTATAATGTTTATGTGTCACACACCCTTTATGTCATACAAGAATCCAAGTTTACTCTTGAAGACTCTTAAACAAATATAAAAAAACTGGATGATTGGAAAAAACCTGGAGTAGCATGCACAGACCCACCCTTCCAACTAACCTGCACCCCGTTAATGAGAGCTGAAGAACACTACTGACAAATATTTTCAATCAGTTAAAAAAATACAATGAAGTGTTGCGTGACCTTGGTCAATATAATAGTATTTATATACCTACTCTATATTAACTCTAAGTGTCTGTCATGTATTCTAAAATCACAGAAGCCTATTAGTGATGCCTCGGAAAAGTAAACAGACCTCTGTCACCATTCTGAAGTCAGGAATTGACAGTCTACTCATACTGCTCCAGCCATAAATAAGGAAATATCCCAATTCTGATGTATTATACGAATGTTACAAAGAAACAAGTCACCAAACGACAGATTACAAGAGTAATCCTAAACTACAAACAATATGGGAAACGTATTTTAAGCAAGAGTACCATACTGCATGATGGACTACATTATACTATACCACGTGGCCCAGACTATACACTGGATTACAAGTGCTATGAAGGGGAATGTGACAGATCTTCACACTTCTTACAGCTTATATTAACATCTGTGTTCTTTCCATTTAAAAAAAAAAAACTGCATTTCACATATTTCTTATTGCTGTCAACAGGTCTGTTCACATTTGTACAATGTCCTTCAATGCATTTGGAGAAAAAAATCCACCATAGTATCATATATAAATAAGTGCAAAGATCCATGTTAATACAGTAAACTCTCTGTTATCTGGTATTCAACTAACCAGAACTCTCACCTAACCAGAAAAAAAAAATCCCATGTGTACTCACTGTTCTGCGGCATGTATTATCCTGGAAACGACCATGTGCCTATTTGTCTGAATTTGTTTTTGATTCCTGCATTTCAATATTAACATGAAGTCAATACAGAGTTTATGTTATGATATGGCATAGTATAGGGGTATAGTATGGGGATATAGTATGGGGCACAGTATGGGGCACATTAAGGGGTACAGTAAAGTGTATGGTATTAGCTAGACCTATTTTTAATAGTAACTCTCAAACATCCAGAAACTACATTTATCCGGAATCTACCAATCCCTGTGGATGTCGGATAACGGGG